TAGAAACTTTAAGTGTATACTGGTTTTAGATATAGTTAAAATTTAGATTGTATTCTAAATATAGCTAGCATAAAATTAGTAGAAGTAGATATTTATAGTGTTGGTATATATCAATATTGTAGGTTTAGTAAGTAATAAAGGTGGTGTTAGTTTGTATGAAGTGTCTTTTAACTTGTCTTATAATAATTTGATTATATATATAGATAAGAAGCCAGGATTCAACAGTTTTGTATAAGAGACCAGTCTGGTAGGCAAAAGAATTAGTACTAGGTGGCTGAAAATATAAACATACAGTATAGTGTAGTGTAGTTGATTAACTAATAGTCTGTCCTCTAGAATAGTGAACTATATTGGTTTTTTCTACTAAGAGAGATGTAGTAATCTGGGTGATAAGTGTGCCACTTTTGTAAGGTCTTATTATCTGCTATGTAAAGTTATTCAAAGTAAAAAATTTTTTTTACTCTAAGTTGTTGTTTAAAGATATTGTATTTGGGATGCTAGCTAAATATTTTCTTGAGGGTATGTTGCTACAACTAATTATTTGTAGCTATGGTAAGTCTGTGTAGATTAGGATTATAATATTAAACATTCTTAATAAATATATAATTTTGAAGTTAGTAGTATAGTAATTAGGTTTATCTATAAGTAGTTGTGGATAACTAAGAATATTAGTTGTAAACTAGAGGTTATTTTGAAGTTGTTGAAGCCTAATGTGAGTAGTAAGTCTTAAAGTAGATATGTTATTTAGCCTAATAAGAAAGTTACTAGTATAGTGTTGTAGCTATATATTCTAGATATTATAGATATTATAGATAATATGACTAAGTATAGAACTATTGGAAGTTGATCTAGCAAGATAGGCCTTCTATTTAGCAACTACAGTATAAGATATTTGCTTAAAATTTTGTTGCATGTTGATTGTGGTATGACAATATTTTGACCTCTGTCTTTGATAGTTGGAAGAATAACAGTATTAATAATATATATAATTTGTTTATTAGTATTATTTTTAGTACTAGCAATATTAATAAGTTGTATTGCTTTATCTCAAATTAATTTAATCTGTTTCTGAGTATAAACTAGCAGCCTAAGAATTTGAATGAAAATTGTGAAAAAGTATCAGAATACTAGTAAAGCTAAATATATAGTTTAGAGATATATTTAGTTTGCTAGTAAGACTCAAAAATTTGTTAATTGATAGAGTGAAATACAGTTTAGTTATCAAAGTGCTACTAGATATGTGTTTTAATCATTGGCATATCTGTTATAATATCATTGACAAGTTTGATATTGTCAAATTTGACAAAGTTTTTGTGGTGGTTAAGTATACTATTGATTCTTGAAATAGATTTAGTGCATCTTTTTTGGATAGTTTTTGTAATTTGGTATTTTATCTGTTTAGTATTTTCTATATTTTGAGTATAGAAGAGCTTTTTTTACTCTGTATTTGCACCAGCAAGCCAGTCTGTAATAGGCTAGTAGTTAGAGAGTAGTGGTAAGATTTGTAGATCTAGATCTTGATTAAATTATAGTATATTGGTATTCAATTAGGACAGAAATAAGTGATACTATATGTAAGCATATTTAACTTTTTTGATTATGCTGCTTAGTTTTTTATAGCCAGTATATAGATGAGAGGCTTTAGAGGAAAAGATATACTGAAAGTTGCAAGTAGCAAATTTCTTGTTAGGAATATGTTTAAGTACAATTTAATAATACTAGTCTGTATTTTATACTAGGTAGTTTCAAATAACTCAGAGGTGTCTATAGAGAGTGGAGTATTATAGGCTTGCAAGTTTACTTGTACTTGGTTGGAGAAGAATTAATATTCTTATTGTTCATAGATTTATAGTTAAATACTCTGCGTCAGAAGTGTGTTTTGCATCTAGAATAGCCTGTGTATGCATAGAGGATGAACCAAGAAAATATGAGTATTTTATGATTATTGAGTATACTTGAGTTAGTGTTATCAGTAGAATAGTATATAAGATACTGCAGAATTGGCAAATAGGTCCAGATATAGTCTATTTTATTTTGGTATTTAGAGATGTGCCAGGTAAAGGCTAATTGTCCTTTGTGGATGACAAGGTTGTATATATTATTGGTTTTTAAGAACTAAAATAATTTATGTTTAATGTTGTTAGATCAGATAGAATTAGTAAAGATGTTGAAGTCACTAAGTATAATTAGAAAAATATTTTAGATATTGCCTGTTGGATTCACTAGATAATTATGTTTTGAGCTTGTATTCTGAGTATAAAATCATTGTATGGAAGATAGACAGAGATAATATAAAACTTGAAGTTATGTTTAAAAAAGATATTAATAGCTAAGGCATAGCCTGGAAAAGTAATAATGTTGTAAATATAGAAGGTAAGATAGTTTTGAATCATGATGGCAGTTTCTGCTCTAGTACTGTTAGTGTATAACCAGAAGTAAGTATAGTGTTATATTTTATAGAATTTGGTAGTAGTGTAAGTTTTACTTACTAGTCTAGTTTTAGTAATGCTAATAATATTAAGACAATAATTTTTTCTCTGATTCTTTTTTAGTAGCTGTATTAAAGCCTTTAATATTGTGTGTACAAATAGTAAGGTTTAGAGGTTGAAGATAGATAGGAGCTATGTTAGAGAAATTACTTATAGGAGTATTTATATATATCTATTGGCTCTAAGCTGTCCAATACCTGTATATTGCTTGTTTCTGAAAGAATAGTGCTAACTATGTTGATATCTGAGAATAAGAAGTCAGTTGGGATCGATATAGTTATATTTATGCCTTCTGCAAGTGTAAGAAAGAAAAGATCTTATCTAGAACTAGTACAAGGCTAGCAAAAATATTACTGTACTAAAAGTGGTAAGGTGTTATACTAATGAGTTGTTGTTATTGTATATACTCCAACTAGAGGTAGAAAGAGAAGGAAGTTGTAATTTTATATCTGTGATTGCTTTAATTGTATAGTATTGCTGAGAATTTTCATAGTAGTAGTAATATTAGCTTGTTTGCAAATAAAAAGTGAGACAATAACTTCTTGCTTAGACAAGGTTTGTATAATTTTCTCTATATTATTGGTGATAATAGGGAGTAATAGTTTGGAAGGTGTATTTGTACTGTTGGGGCTTGGAGAGTTATTGTTATTAATTTTATTCTAACTAAAGAGGAGTCAAGTAAAGTAATAGTATTTGTATAAAAGTTTGGCAATAGAAATTAGATCCTGTGAGGTTGTAATTAGAAAGAAAATATTAAAATATTTAGTGATTTCTTTAGCTATTGGAAGAGTAACCTTGTTAGTTGGGTTGGGCTGCATAATTTTAGTTGAGTGTAGGTATTGGATTCTGTAGTAGAAGAATACATATTTGATAAACTCTTTGGTATCTGTATTATTGGTAATAGGATAAGTAAAGGATATAGCTATTTTGATTTTACTGGTATTAGTTAGTAAAGAAGGTTTGGTAGTAAAGAAGTTATTAGGCAGTAATTTAAAGGTATAATATTCTCTGAGTATTGTGATGATATCAATAAGTGAAACTAAGAAGATTGTTTAGTTAAATAGAAAAAATTTTCAGACTTTGGGGTTTAGCTCTTAATACATTGTAAAGAGAGGTTGTTTAGATAGTGGTTAGGTTAAAGTAGAAGTTAGGAATTTTGGTTACAACATAGAAGTCTGCTAGTTTTCTTTTATATACAGCAAGGTCTTGAAGTATTTTGTTGGCGATCCTGGGGTAGTTGCCAGAAACCCGTTGATCACATGATTTGCCTCCGCTCTGGACATCCCTCATAACGATAATTAGTAATTTAAAAATTTTCAATTTTTTAAATTTTTGAATTTTTCAATTTTAGAATTTTTAAATTTTTTCAATTTTTGAATTTTCTAATTTTTCAATTTTAGTAATTTCAAATTATCAAAATTTCAAATTTTTTAAAAAAATTGCACTTTTGGCCCAAATGGAACACCGTACAAACAAGATAATCGCAAATACAAGATTACGCCTAAATTATTATACACGATGCATTGACACTGTATTAGGATTGTGAATGAAAAATCAAATGAGAAAAAATAACCAATATATTCTTGAATATTCTAGTTAGATTGTGTATTTCTAAAATGAATTATTACGAAACATAAGTTTATATATTCTACTATCCGGGTAATCAAGATAATCCCTGATAACTATATCAAGATTACAGGAGGATTATTATTACTAATCTACCCGCAGATAACCTATATTAGCTTTTTTTTATTATCCAGATAATCCGGGTTAAGATTTTTTGAACGGCCCCAAACACTAAAGGTAATCATAAAGAATCTTTATGAATAACTTCATTTCATTGACTCGTCGTTATCTCTAGCAAATATGTCATCTTAAAAGGTTGAGTCACACTATACAAATGCAATGTTCGGAAGTATGTACGTACGTACGTAATAAAAACTTTTAACACCTATTCTATTTAGGGAAGTGTCACTTATCAGCTAATTTTTTTGTAAATAGTAAAATTCCCCCCTACCTCAAATGATTACGATTATGCATAAACATATATCATGTGACTATTAACATGATATTTTGGCACCCACTTCCCTGCTAAAAAATGTCAGATGATAAATGACACTTCCCTTTTATAAAAAATTAACTTTACTGTTAAATTTGCTGATGTTACAGTGACGCATAAAATAAAATAACATGCTATTTCCACTAATAAATTATATAATTTATTATTGATTTCTACTAAGTAGAAAATCTTGACAAAAGAAAACATCTACCACCGTAAATTTCTTTAGGAAATACAAATTTAAAATATATCAAGATTGAAATCAATGTTATTTATAAAAAATGTTTTTAACACAATAAATACAATCTATTTAACAATTAATTATAAAAGATTGTAACAAAAATCATTCACAAAATAAAATAAAATAACTAAGTAAATAAATGGATAAAGATTTCTACAATTACTGTACTTTCTAATTAAATACATAAACAAATAAAATATAATAGTTCATTTTAAAATCTTTGATATTTTGCAAATCGTTCTTCAACATTAGGGCCAAATACAGCTATAGAAGCATGTCGACTTCTTCTACGTTTATAACATGTTATGAGTCCAATAATTAAAATCAAACCAATAACAATGACAGCAATCGTAATTCCAACGTATAATGGTGTTTTATTACTATTTGAATTATTTGAATTTTTGCTAATTGATTTATTAGTGCTATCAGCATTCGAACTGGAAGTTGTTGAAGGTGTGTTTGAAGAATCATTAGAATTATTAGAATTATCAGAAGAATTCGTAGCTGTTGCAAAAGGTGTACCATCCAAATTAACATCTTCAACATATGGATGATTATCCCCTGTACAAACCGAAATAGGTTTAATATTATAATTGGCATTTTTAAGAATTGGTATAACCAAAGGAATTCGAGCAGCGGTTTGATTATATGAGTCATGTTGTAGAGAGATATGACCAGTACTATTGATAGTTGGATCAGCTACCCATTGAGTAAAATTATTTACGATCCAGGAAAGATCAAAAGTTGGATCACTATCTGAAAACCAATCATAAGTATCTAAATCCCGAAATACAGGTTTTAGACCAAGTTGAGTTGAAATATTTCGAATTCGATCATCAAGTTGTACAAATGGAGGACGCATAAGCTTGGGGGTAATATTAACAGCAGCTTTTACAGCATCCATAGTCCATTTAAGCTCTGAAATAACTTGTTCATTAGTTTGATTTACCAACGAAGAGTTTGACCAATTAAGTATACCAATCCCATGTCCTATTTAGAATGAATAAAAATTATTTGATTCAGATTCTGTATAAAGAAAAGAAAAAAGAAATGTATAGAAAGGAAATAAAAGCATACCAGATTTAACAATTCTTTGTAATATTTCAGGATATTGATATACTCTAGAACCAACAACAAAGAAAGTAACTTTAATGTTTTGAGTATCTAAAAAGTCCAGGACTGTACTCGTGTATGGACTGAAAAAGTATGAAAATAAAAGATTAATTTTCCCATAAAATTATGATTATTCAATAATTTGAATAGAACTTTACCCTGGACCACCATCTAAAGTAAGACCCCAATCTAATTGGAAAAAAAAAAGAAGGGTTATTAAAAGATTTAACTATTTATTATTATAATATAATACTATTAACAATTACCAAGTATATTTGGACATTTAACAATATCAGTATTGCTTCGAACGCAACCACTACAATCCGAACGGCAATAACTGTCATCAGTTGGGCAGGAAGCACTCACAGGAGCTGGACTAACCTTAGTTAAGTCTACAAGAGCAGTATATGTCTCATTTATTGGAGGAGGAAGATCTATTACTGGCCAATTTTCAGAAAGTACTGATAAAACGGAAATTGGCATTAACATACATAAAACTGCCAGTAAAATGAGTGAATAATTTACATGTTTCATATTTGTCGTTTTTGTTGTAAAGAATTTTTAATTCTTTACTAAACGACTTTAGGATGAATACGTATTTATAAAACACGTTTAAAAATGAAAAAGACGGATATAAAGCCAACAGAGTTTCACTTTATGCTTATAAACATTCAGGTACGTAGTCATGCTATGTTACAGATGCCGTGTAAATATTTACTATTGATAGCATAGATATAAATGGGTATAATTATCAATATTCGAGTTACTGTAATAAAATTAATAATCTAAGAAATACAAGTTATTGTTTCCGAACTCCATGACCTCATAAGCAATACTATATTATAAGTAAAAAAAAAATTGAATGGTTAAGTAAAACACATAATTCAAATTTCATAGTTTGTGAAATTGAAACGGACATCTACCAATTAAGACTATGTTAATATAATACATGTTAATTAATTACGGCCAAAGAAATAAATTGTGTAATTTATCGATCATTTTTGGATGTAAATATCTTTGTTATAGGCAGCAATGTCACACTGAAAGTCACACAGAAAGGAGTACTGAAAAAAGAAAATTAATAATGAATTATTTGATATTTTTATTTGTGCAGTGTAAATTGTATTCACTTTGGTCCCTAGATATTTTAGATATCCTCCGTTTTCCGCTTTTTTTATGGTCGCAGAGGGATCAAGTGATTTACGTCGGCTGATGGGGACGGAAAATCTGATGCGCAATATACTGTATATGCACTAGATTTAAAGTGTATTAAGTCCGAAATTATATAAAAAAGGTGATAAAAAATTAAGGTTTTCTTTTTTTAGATAATATTAATGAAGATTATCGTTAGAGAATCATTTATACAAATTTTTTTTTTTACTTTATTTAAACCGACTCTTTGAGTTTTAGGAAACGATCGATTTAAAGAATTCATCTCTAAGAAATCAACAACACATATAAAATACTAATAAGGCACGATTAAATAACTTTTAAATTGAAAAATTCAAAAGAGATCGACGAAGAATCATCCAGGGCGGCCCCTAAAAGTTCGGTGACGTAAGATTAGTTAGTGCCATTCATTGGCTCTCATTTAGCTGCAAACCGTAGATCATTTTCTTAGTGATTGTACGCTATAATCTCTGTCACTGAACTTTTGGGGGCCGCTCTGGATGATTCGAGATCAAAAATTAATAATAAGCTATATATTTAATAATTAACGCTTTATGCATGTAAGGAAATGTTTATTGAATTTAGCAATACATAAAAGGTGAAATAACAAAATACAATTGGCATGCAAGTTAATGTGTCAGGTTTGTGTTCCATAAGGATATCGATTATGCATGAAAGGTTTTAAACCTTACAGCCTTATACACGAAAACGTTTTCGAAGAAGTAAAATTAGTAAAAGTGGAATGTTTGAATCGGCACTTTTGCTATTTGCGTGACCCGGGCTTGTGATTTTTTATACAGATCAGATCAGATCAGATCACTATTTTGAAGAGAAACAAACAAACCAACAATTATTTAGACAAATTATTCTTTTCTATAAATTAACTTTTGAGTATAAATTTATTTATAGAACTGATTGAACATTCAACACTTTATGGTAGAGGTTTCAAAGTTAACGAAAAATAACACATTTTGGAAATAAGGAGCTTTAGTAAGTATCATATTACGATGGAAAATTCCAATTTACATAAGCAAAATAAGGGATAGTCATACCGCATGTAGTTTAAAAAAAAAATAATTAATAATAACTGATCAAATAAATTATCTCTCGTGGAACTTGAGTGAAAATAAAATCATCAATTACTTATTATTTCAAATAAAATATTAAATATGTCCCCTATTCTCACTGAAATAGATTTACTCAAACACTGAAATCCTCTATTTTTATTCATTATTTCTATTTTACCGGATTCATTTATTTAATTTTATATGAATGGATAAAATGTAGGGTTTGTCAAAAAAAAATGGCAAATTCTTACGTATAAAAACCTTTTTTCCTTTTACTTTGCTATAGAATAAAGTGTATGTAAATTATATAATTTATGCGTGTAGTTTATAACTCGTGTTAAATAAGTTTTGCAGTAGCTAATTAAACTATCATTGTTTACGAGAGTAACCTTTACTAAACAGAATAAAATTTTCATTTCTTAAAACGAAACAATTACAAATTGAATAAAATCCCCAAAAGAGGCTTTGAAACAAACTAAAATAAGAGCAATGAAAAATAAACCAAATTCGAATGTTTGAAACAAGGGTCA